ATGTTCCAAAAATATTATCTGGACTTCAGCATGGAAAGAAAAGTGGGAAAGCAAGTTACAGGCCTTACAGATAGCTAGCAAGTTCTAGAAAGAAATAAGAGGGGGCTTAATGGACAGAGGACATGCTATGCATGCAAGAGTCTCCAGCTTAACTGGTCAGAAGTGACTCCCAAGCACCACCAGGTGCAGCCCCCAAAACAAACAACCCCCCCCCCAAGAAAAAGAAGGAAAGTGGCTGAAGGAACAATATTTAAAGAGATAATAGCTAAAACATTTTGGACCTAATATAAGATACATGAGTTGCAGTGAGTCACAGGAAATCCACGTTCGTCACACCCTCGTGGAACGTAGGCGACCAGAGATAAAGAAAAAAAAAATTTAAAAGCAACCAGAGAGAGAAGACTTCTCAGCAATGGTGCCATTTTGATCGATGGCAGACTCATAAATACAATGTGATGTTGCTCTTAGGAAGGAAAACCATTGCTAAGCCAAACAGGCAGTTGACGCAAAAATAGTTTTCCAGAATGAGAATGCAGCAAAGACATTTTCCAGCATTCCAGACTTGAATGAATCTGTGGCTACTATCCTATCATCACAGTAGAGGAAGGTAATACAATGGACAACCCAGGAAACTTGCACCTTCCTTCTGGGTAAAGTAGAAGCCATGCAAGATTCTGGGCACAGGAAGGGGAGGAGCTGAGTTTGGGTTCCCGGAAGCAATGTGGCTGATCCATGTGGATCAGGGAGGGACAGTGATGGTGGCAGCAGCAGAGGTGGGGCTGGGGGAGATTAGTCAACCAGATACGGACACACCAGAGCCAGTGTTCAAAAACCCACTCCCAAGACAGAAGAGACAAATTGTGGGGATGGAGCAATAGCACAACGGGTAGGGCGTTTGCCTTGCACGTGGCCAACCCGGGTTCAATTCCCAGCATCCCATATGGTCCCCTGAGCACCGCCGGGGGTAACTCCTGAGTGTAGAGAGTGTAGAGCCAGGAGTAACCCCTGTGCATTGCCGGGTGTGACTCAAAAAGCAAAAAAAAAAAAAAGAGAGAGAGAGACAAATTGAACACATGAACATGAAAAAAAGATGAAGGAGGAAGTTGGGGGGAAATATTCCCGAGTGGTACAGGCCAGTGTTCTTCAGTGTTCTTTTTTGCAGCTGTCCTGCATACTGGTCCACGGAGTTACAATGAAGGCAGTAGAGCAGTGGTTTCCAGCCTTTCCATCCTGGCAGGCCAGCACTGGCCTGTGGACTGGTGATTGAGGGGTGCTGGTGAAGGCCAGACTCATCAGACAAGACAGACAGTAAGGGAAAAATCACATCAAGAAAGAAAGGGTACTACATTATGGCTAAAATTTACGATTCGCCATAAAAGCATTTTAACCTTTTCTTGCCAGCTTGTTTTATTATGTTTACAGAATTACAGCATCAAAAAATATCACAATCACAATCATCCTGTTGTTCGTCGATTGCCTCGAGCAGGCCCCAGTAATGTCTCCTTCATCCTAGCCCTGAGATTTTTTAAAAGGTGCTATATTCAAGGCTCTTTCAGGGTTAGGAGAATAAGACCCATCATTGTTACTGGTATTTGGCATACTGGGTATGCCACAGGGAGTTTGCCAGACTCTGTCGTGTGAGCAGGTCACAATCGGTAGCCTGCCAGGTTGTCCAAAGCAAGAATGAGATAATGATATGACAATTATAACTCATCATAAAATATGTATTTAAGAAAACTACATTGGGGGAAATGTTAATAGAACCACAGAGAGAAATAGGCAAGACCATACTCATATTCTAATGGTATAATGTAACTCACTAAGCAGTTTGATTCTGTTTTAGGGAGTTTAACACAGCCAGGTTGATCTAGTAGAAATGGATAGGACCTCCAGGAAGGCATCAGCTGGCTACATAGTCTTTCTAAGAAAAGGGCTACTGGCAGAAACTCTGTACTAGGACCCTAGGTTACATTTGAATGACTTTGTTTCCTAATCACAGTGCAATCACAAAAAGATACTACTAGAAAATTCTTACGAATTTGGAGACTAATAAAAAAATTTGATCGCTTTTAAAATAAAAATCATAACATAATTAGAAAGTGCTTCCCAAAACCTGAGAGACAGAGCTGAAGTTAATACTACAGGGAAATTTATACTTACAGCCTGGAGAGTAAAAGTTGCCCTACTAAGTTTAATAAGAACAAGAAGAAAATAATTGCAAAGGAAGATAAAAGTAAAGAAAACTAAGTATTATTAAAGATAAAAGAAAAATAAATATACAGTAGGGAGGATAAATAAGTACTTTATTTACATACCTTACAGATTAAACTGAGGTACAGACTCCAAAGATAAAGTCTGAAACTCAATTTCTTAGATGTGACATCAAAAGCCAGAGTAGCAGCATAAAGAAATAGACTAACTAGACAGCACAAAAGTTTTAAAATTTTGTGCTTCAAAGGACATCATCAAGCAAATGAGAGGACAGCTGTGGAATGCGGCAAATATTTGCAAATCATCAATGTGGTGAGGGGCTTGGATCTAGAACAATGGGTTTCAGCCTTTCATTCCTACAGACCAGCCAGCAGTGGAAACCCACTGACCTGGAACATATTGATAGAGAAATGTTATGACTCAACAGTAAAAGGACAACTTAGTTCTTAAAAGGGTTCAAATGGACATTTTTCCAAACGAAAGATGTTCAATGCCAGTAGGTATGCACGAGAAAATATTTTTGACATCATTAGCCACTGGGGAGAATGCAAATGAAATGGAGAGATTACTACCTTGCCCTCTAGTATGGCAGTAACTAAAACAGACAAGAACAAGGGTTGGTAAAGAAATGGAGATCCTTGAACCTTCATGTGCTCTCTGTGGGCATATAAAATAGTAAACTGCTTTGGAGAACAGTTTGACAGCTCCTCAAACAATGAGTTACTGTGGCACTGTCTTCCTGTTGTTCATTGACTTCCTGGAGCAGGCACCAGTAACGTCTCCATTGTGAAACTTGCTACTGTTTTTAGCATATCAAATACGCCACGGGGAGCTTGCCAGGCTGGGCTCTCTGAGAGGGATGGAGGAATCGAACCCGGGTCAGTCAAGTGCAAGACAAATGCCCTACCCATTGTGCTATCGCTCCAGCCATGAGTTACCATAGGATCTAGAAATTCTTCTTGAAATTCTTCTTCTTCAAAGATGTTCCAAAACCAAAAGTGTACATTAGTGTTTATAGCAACAGCGTAACATTATCTAAAAGGTGAAGCCAACCGGTGAGTCCATTGATGAGTGAATTAAAAATGCAGGCTTGCCTCACAGCGGATGACCCTGCTGTCAGCCAGTATGAGCACCCGTGCATGCCCAACACAGGAAACCCTTGCAAACACACCCAAGGGAAGAAGCCAGGCTCGGAGGAACTGATAGGAATTCCCCAGAATAGTTACGTCTACAGTGACAGTAGATTGGTGGTTGCCTAGGCTGGGTTGATGTATGGGTTGATGGCTAGGAGGAATAAAAATGTAAATGTAGTAGAACTGACCAATGGTGATAGGTGCATGACTCTGAGTATTACAACTGAATGGCCAGTTTTTTTTTTGCTTTTTTTGGGGGGTCACACAGAGCAATGCACAGGGGTTAGTCCTGGCTCTGCACTCAGGAATTTACTCCTGGCAGTGCTCAGGGGACCATATTGGGATGCTGGGAATCGAACCCGTGCAAAGCAAACACCCTACCCGTTGTGCTATCGTTCCAGCCGCTGGCCCACTTTTTTTGTGTGTGTGAAATAATTTGTTTTCTATTGCTGGTTATAAAAACCATATGATGTCACGCTATCACGGCTGTCATGGCTGCGCGATTTTGGATTTCTGATGTTTTATTAATTAAGTCTGGAGGGATTTCTGCCAAGAGCCGGATAACTACGAGATAGGTTCCTGTGCATCTGGTGCCATGGCCGTGCTAGAGAGCCGCTCATGGGGGTCAACTCATGGCCTCTGTTGGGTGTGAAGGACGAGTTGGTTCCACCACCCCCACCCCCACCCCCGCCCATGAGACTGCAGTTGCCCCATCACTGCCGGCTCATACCTGGCTTTCCAATAAGCTCTGAGACGGCGGCTACCGTGCTGGGGGGAGGGGGGGCGGAAGAGGAAGCGATGACAGATACCCTTTCCCTCCCAGCGGGGCATGGCGACCTGCCCCACTTTTAATAGGCAGGTTGTATGAAGCCAAGGTCTCTAGCTCTGACAGTGCAATGGAGATGGGGCCACGTGCCCCCACTCACTGCTGCAACCACTTCGGAAAAACCACTTCAGATGCCAGTTTTGATATCACCTGAGGGTCAAAGATGCAAGTAGGACAGCCACAGCAGTCCCACTCCTAAGTGAAGGCTCAAGAAAGTCTCCATTAGTGGGCTGGGTCCCTTAGAAGAGGAGCTGGAGCAGAATTGTAGGAAAGCACCTGAAATGGTGTGATGCAGTGCTTGGGGAGATCAGGAATACGCAGTAAACAGAACAGACTTATGCTTAAGATAGCAAAGGAGCAAAAGAGAAACACGAAACTCACAATATTGGGGATGGGGAGGGGGGCGATTGGGAGCATCTCAGGGCTTGGGGGTAATAGGTAGGTGGGTCATGTTCCCCAACGGGTGGTGAGTTGTGGGTTTACATGGTGGCAATGGGGCAGGGGCGTATCCCCATGTTGAGAAGGAAGAGCCAGGAAACGGAAACACAGAATAGCCAATCCAAACTGGCCGGGAGTTTCTAGAAAAGACGGGCGTTGTTTGGCATCTTGTGTTGAAGAAGTCAAGAGGACCAACCATTCCTCTCTCGAGGAAGAGAGAACCACAGCAAGCACCAGCTGCTCCCGCCCCAGCTGGGCACGTTCTTGAGACCGTTCCGCCCACCCCCACCCCGGGGTGCATGCGAGTTTCCTCCTCCCCAGCTCCGCTGACTGCGCCGGGACCCCCGAGTCCTGGGGCCGGGCCACCCAGACAGCCCTGTGCTCTCTTTCAGATCCCGCTCACGCTAAACGATGACCCCCCTGTGACGGCCAACACCGAGGAAGCACCGCATCACCACCAGTCCACCAGCCCCGGGAGGGCGCACGCCACGCTCAGCCCCCACGTCCTTCACGTCCTGCTGAGGCCGTCGCCCCCGCCACACCTCCTTCAGGTCCTGCTGAGGCCAGTCGCTCCCGCCACACCTTCTAGCAGAGGTGTCCCCATCCAGTGTTCTTCAGCACCTTCACCCAACGGACGTGGCCCTGAGGCCACGGGAAAACGCCGGCGCTGGGTCTCGAGGGACCCGGGCCGCGGGGACGTTTGGGGCGGCCGCATCGTCTCCCCGGTGGGAGCCAGGGTATCCTTCCCCCTCCCTTCCCCCTTAGGTCTTCTCTGCCCCCCTCTCACTGCGCACAGAGATGATATAAAAGAGGCTCTTTGGCTATTTGCATTCGCTTCCTCTTCTTTTCCTGTTTGGGGCTTTGATTTGGAAATCCCAGCATCATCTACCCATGGATTACCCCTTTCCTCCCAGGGCCTGTGTGTGTGTGTGTGTGTGTTGGGTTGGGGGGGGGGGAGGGGCTCCCAGCGCATGGGAGGCAGGGATTTACAAATTTCTAAAATTAATCATTCTATTTTCCTCTCCTCCCCCCACCCCCACCGCCCAAACGTTTTACTTATTTTTTGATCATGGGTATTTGCAAGACGGCGGCAGAACCCGCTTCTCGTTTTCTCTCCAGGCAGGGCAGTTTTGCAGCTTTCTTTCAGACACGTGAGCTCCAAAGGCAGGTTTTTGTCTTTGAGTCTGTTTCGGCAGATGGCTGGGAAGACTCAGCTACTCACTCACCCAGGGGGGCTGGTAGGCCTGCGAAGTTGCCCTAAGGGGCGGGGGATCTCCACAGACCCTCTGGGACACTGTATTCTGTGTGTGTCCCCAGTCCGGGTCCTGCCCAGCCTGGGGCAGCTTCCCCCTTAGCCCTTTCTGCTGGCTCTTCCCAATCTCGGACCCGGACCCTCAGGCTCCCTTCTGACCAGAAGGTGGGGGTCGCACACCCTCAAAACTGCCCTGGAGAGGGTCTGGGTGAGCTCCCAGGTGCTGGCACAGGGAACTGTAAATGGGGCTTTAGAACTCCTCAAGAGGGACTCAAAAGAGAGGACACCATTTGCCTGGCATGCAGCCCACCTGGGTTCAGTCCCTTAATGCCCCAGGAGTAATTCCTGAGCACTGCTAGCTATGGAAAATAACCCTAAAGAGAACAATACACCCCCACCCCCACCCCACCCCCCAAAAAAGGGCAGGAAGGGATTTCATTGTCGCCTTAGTAAATGATAATGAAGGCTGGAACGCATGGCAGGATTTGCTTGTTTGTATGGGATGGAGTCCATCGCTTCCAGGAGGGAAGAGAGAAGATGCTCCTGGGACTTCTGTTGTGTGAGGACTGTGTGAACTGTGGGCTAATGTGGTGATGAATTAAGGAGGAGACAAATCTGAATTCCTTCACCGTCCCCTGCTGATAGGAGATACTGACGAACAAGGAATTTGGGGAGATTTGTTAGATGGGTCTTATGAAAAGGCAGAAGAGCCCAAGCCCAGTGAGAGAACTTGCAGGCATGCAGTAGCCATGGGTAAGCGGCTGGAATTAAATCCTAAGCTAATTCCCTGCTCGTGCCATGACTAGGGTCAGGTAAAAGTTCCCCATCCAGCGTTCTCCCATTATTGAGCCAAATATTCTCATTTTCATGGGTACTAGACTTTTGGAGATGAGCTCATAGAGCCCTTTGCCTGGAGAAGTGTGCCTCCTTATTTTCCCCCCAAACAAGTGTTGTTTCTTGAAGATGGAGAGTGATTCAGGTTATCTGTCATGTCTGGCATGTGGCACAGGGGGAGGAGACAGAAGACCCCCGGGGCGTGTTCATGTCAACTGGTCAAGAGCAGAACAGAGCTCCACTATCAGGAGAACATTCTGGATTACAGCAGGAGCCATTTTCCTCCGGATCCTTCAGAACAGCTCATTGCCTGGGTGCATGTGGATGAATCACAGGCCCCCATGTTAGTCACGTGCTTTGAGACTGGACACCAAGGAGGGTTCCTTCAAGGGCCAAAAGGATAGTTCCCCTCTTCCGTATTGAAGCCTGAAGTGAGGACAAGTAATGTCGGGTGCAACACCGGTCTTTCAAAGTGTACTTTCTTTTTTTTTTTTTTTTTTTGCTTTTTTGGGTCACACCTGGTGATACTCAGGGGTTACTCCTGGCTCTGCACTCAGGAACTACCCCTGGTAATGCTCAGGGGACCATATGGGATGCTGGGGATTGAACCTGGGTTGGTCAGCTGCGTGCAAGGCAAACGCCCTACCCACTGTGCTGTCGCTCCAGCCCCTCAAAGTGTACTTTCTAGTCTCAGCATCTCTAAAGCTGCAGCCCGAACCCTTTTCCCACAAGCACGCAGCGGTTCTCAGGCCACAGAAATGCGATAATGGCTACTGCAAACACACAGACCCTTAATGGGATACCAACGACTGTGGACACAGGGCACTCTTGGGTAACACAAGGCACAATCCCACCACCCATCACTTGAGGGCTTCCTGACTACCATGGAAGCAGTTGGGTGGGTGGCATGAGATAAAGGCTGAGGGAGAAACCCTTAGAACTTGCTGTGTGTGGAGAAAGCAAGGAAAAAGCCGCGTGCATAGACTCAGGAATTTGGTTTGGGAGAACTTCAGAAGGAACAAGCTACGTGCCTATGTATGGTACACACATACACCTCAGCCGCCCTGCAGGTTTTAGCTGCAGGCAGGCAGTTATTTTCACCAATGTGTGTTCGTTTCATCAGAGAACCAGGTTGGGCCAAATGGCACTTTCCTGCTCGTGCAAGCGTGCTTCAGCTGGGCATGGATACCCCGATAGAATCGTGCCTGGCCCTGGGATCCCTGACCCCACAGGATCCCGCTTTTCTTGTCCTCTTCTGCCCCCAAAGCCTGACAAGAGACTACTGTCTCAAAGGGGCTCTTGGGGCACTCTCCAGACTGAACCCGATGACAGAATTCACCTTCTATTACTTCTTGCCAGTTGCCTCATTTTCAGCTGGTGGGGTAGGGAGGTGAGGTATAGTTTGCAAAAATGATGACATCTGTCAATCACTTGTTTGTACAGCACAGGTACAACCAGTGCAGGGGGAGGGGAACAGAGAGAGAGGACAGCGGATAAGATGGCTTGCCTTGCACGCGCCTGATGCAGGTTGGATCTCCAGCCCCCAATGCCCCACCAGGAGGGATCCCAGAACCAGGAGGAAGCCCTGATCACTTCTGGGCGTGGTCTAAAACAAGCAGTCACAGGGCCATCTTCAGGGCACACCAGGGAATTTGTCCACAGTTACACAGATGTCAATTCTCTGTGGACTGGAGAGCGTGCACACACACACACACACACACACACACACACACACACACACACACACACACTACCTGGGTGCCTGAGGGGAGCGAGCAGAGAGCAGAGCTGGACCTCGGGGCATGGGGGCAGCCCTGCAGGCTTCTGTGTCCTGCCAGACCCAGCCAGTCAGCCCCTCTGTGCCCCACCCGACCCCACCCCTAATTTCCAGCCACCGCCACGAGTAGATGTGGACATTCAATTCCAGGGCGATTCGGGGCATGCATCGAGCCAGACCGGACAAGCTTTCAAATAAGGCTTTTACTGTTCTACCAACAATCTTCCAGAGGATGAAATGATCCAAGATGCCCCCAAAATATTTTATTTATACAAAGTGTTTTGGAGAGTAATATTTGTACTTGTCTTTCTAGCTCAGTCTACCGTGGGGCCAGGTCACCATGCCGGCGCGGGCACGGCTTTTCCGCAGGCCTCACGTGTCGTAGCACCTGCTTCCAGGGAGGCCAGGAGAACACCGGCTCTCAGCAGGGGGAGGGGAGAGCCGCGCGCCGCTCCCCCACCCACAGCCGTGCCCCCCTGACCGGGAAGGTGTCAAAACGAATGTCCAGGAGAGAAAGAGGGCAGGCGGGAGAAGGCGTGCATCCACCCTTGTGCCTCCGAGGCCACCTCCAACAGGGCCTCCGAGAGCCCCAGGGGCCGGTTAAACCCCACCAGCCAGGTCTTCTCCCCAGAATGATCCTTGACGCTGATGGATGTCGAGAGGGCAGTTTGTCAAAGAACAGGTCTGTCCTCAGTCCCCGGCAGCGTAGGAAACAGTCCTGAAACTTGGTCTTTGATCACGGGTGTGGAAGAAAGATACAAGGCCTCCCAGGAGGTGATCCAGGTTCTCCAGGAGCCGCGGTGACCCTCCGGGCTGAGGGCTCTGGCAGCACGGCCCCGTGCCCACCCTCTCCCTGCCCTGTCCCCTCCCCCGGGTGCCTCACATGCCATCTCCACACAACGTACCACCTGGCCAGGCCTCTCCGTCGGTCCGTCCCCACCACCTCCATCTACCGCACGGCACATCCCTGTTCTCCAGTGTCTTCCTCCCCACCCCACCCCCAACCACACCCACACTTCGTTTACCACAGTGATCGCTCAGAGCCAGCAAGAAAGAGAAATGTTCCCTCAGGGAAGCTCCCCCTCGGCCCTCCGCCTGGAACCGCAGCGGGGGGAGGGGGCCCCCCAGGCTTCGAGGGGAGACAGACCAGACGGGGTGCTTCGGGTTTCCTGAGGAGCAGGTGGTGAGGTGGGGGCGCTCCTGCTCTCTCCTCTCGTGCTCACAGGCGGTGTGGTGGGGGGCTCAGCTGCACTTACAGGACTTGACCACCATGTTAGAGAGTTGTTCCACTTTGGGGGTCCTCCCGACGTAGTACAGGATGGTGAGGGGCTCCAGGTCCTGGGGCACACAGCACGGAGAGGCAGACGCTTCGGGGTTCAGGGTGTTGTACAGTCCCAGCACCTGAGGGAGGACAGGTTACAAAGTCGTTGGCAAGCCGGGCCTCCCCCTCTCCCCGTCCCCTGCGGCCTGGAGACCGAGATCTGAGCATCCCCAGGCCAGTGGCAGAGCACAAGGGGGTGAAGTGCTTGCTTTGCATGTGGCCAGCCCTGGTTCCATCCCCAGCACCTCATGGTCCTCTGAGCGCCATGGGGAGTATTAGCCCCTCGTCACTGCCCAGTGTGACCCAACCACCCCTCCCCACCAAACAATAGCACTGTAGCACTGTCCTCGCGTTGTTCATCAGTTTGCTCGAGCAGGCACCAGTAACGTCTCCGTTGTGAGCCTTGTTGTTACTGTTTTTGGCATATCGAATACGCCACGGGGAGCTTGCTAGGCTCTGCTGTGCGGGCGAAATACTCTCGGTAGCTTGCCGGGCTCTCCGAAAAGGACAGAGGAATCGAACCTGGGTTGGCCGCGTGCAAGGCAAATGCCCTACCTGATGTGCTATCACCCCAGCCCCACCAAATAATAAATAAACAACCAAACAGAACTGAGTCTCCCAGTACACAGGGGTTATGACTAGGGGCTGGTCAGTCACAAGGAAGGAGGCAGAACCATTGCAACTTTTTGACAGGTATCTGGCCAAACCCATGGCAGCTACTGAAAATTACAAAATTCTCCTAGATTCATCATCCTCACTGGACCTGATCACTCTGTTGAGAAACGTTCTCCATAAACACTGTCTTGGACCAAGCCACAAGTGCTAGACACAGTGCCACAGGAATGAGCTGCCAGGAAAGAACACACTTCCCAAATCACAGCCCGGTCTCCATTGTCCCGGAAGGAACACAAGCTGGTTCCAGAATCAGCCTCCCCTCAGTCCCCCATCCTCTGCCAGTGTTTCTCCGTGCCGCCCTGGTGTGCTGTGCCTTTCAGCCACACTGAGGCTGCATCCATCCCAGTTGTTTTAATGCTGAAGCAAGAAGCTTTTCTGCCAGCCAGGAACACGCATCTCTGACAAGCGGGCAGCTGTGTGAGAGGAAACTCCCAGAATAGGACAACAGTGGCCAGAGAGAGAGAGAGAGAGAGAGAGAGAGAGAGAGAGGACGGTGGGCAGGGTGCTTGCCTCGCAGGGGTGGAGAACCAGCCAATCCAGGTTCAATTCCCAGCACTCTCCATGGTCCTCCAAGCCCTGCCAGGAGTGATCCCTGGGCTCAGAGCCAGGAATAAGCCCTGAGCACAGCTGGGTATGATCCCCAAACCCAAACAACAGAAATCAGACAAAAGTTTTAGACAGAGCCAGAGAGATAGTACAGCAAGTAAGGTGACTACCTTGCATGCGGCCGACCTAGGTTTGATCCTCAGCACTACAGACAGTCCCCCAAACACCAGTCAAAGTGATCCCTGAGCATGGGGTCAGGGGTAAACCCTGAGCACTGCCAGGTTCTCCCACCCCATCCCCCTCCCCCATCACCAAAGGCTTTAGACAGTAAACCAGTTAACCAAAGGTCTGGTGGAGATAGCACTGTAGTACTGTCTTCCCATTGTTCATCAATTTGCTGGAGCGGGCACCAGTAATGTCTCCATTGTGAGACTTGTTACTGTTTTTGGCAAATCGAATACGCCATGGGGAGCTTGCCAGGCTCTGCTGTGTGGGCGAAATACTCTTGGTAGCTTGCCCGGCTCTCCGAGAGGGACAGAGGAATCGAAGCCAGGTCAGCCACGTGCAAGGCAAATGCCCTACCTGCTGTGCTGGTGGAAATATGGAGGAAATTTAGAAGGACAGAATGTGACCAAGTGGAGTTGGGGACTCAGGATGCTGAGATCAGAACCTCCATCAGAGATGATCCACTCACCCCTGGTCCTCACTCACCCACTCAACATTCCTTCCTTCATGCATTCTTTTAAAGAAATGCAGCCGGGCTCCACCCCCATCATGCCCCATGGCACAAGTCCCACCCCGTACCGTGCTGTGGGTTGTATCTGCACTGCGGAGGTACGGGCAGGGGCCAGAGCAGAAGTTGGCGTAGTAACCCTTAGGCTCGTGGACCCATTTCCAACCCAGATCCTGCCGGAAGTCAATGTAGAGAGGGCGCACACAGCAGTTTTCCTCCAGATTTCTACAAAAAAAAAAAAAGGTAAAAAAATGTATAGTCATCACTCTAAAAGAAAAACACCCTTTTCATTCAAAAATAAAAACCCACAAATGGGGTCTGCTTGGCATCATCAGCAAGGGCTTGTTATCAACGGACTCTCAGGTCCAAGTACATTTGAGTTGTGTAAACCATGAAGACATTTTCTTTTCCTGCGTGGAAGACCATGAGTCCCAGGATACTGTAGGTAGATAAAGATGATGCCTAACTAAGACGGAAAGGACAGAGCTGACCCTCCTCCTCTCTATCCTGGATGGAAGGACAATTCCGCATAGAACTCAGCACTGATTATTCCTGGCCAACTCAGCTTCAAGGTGGGCTTTACTGTTCCCTTCCTGATGGACACCCAACCAAAGGAGACTTGGAAGCATGAGTCTATACCTGCAGCGAATGACTGCTTAGACTCAATCTTCAGGCAACTGAAGTCAAAATGAGGCACGACCTGCTTTAAGCCTCAAGGTTCCTCGAGTCCCCCAAATGTGATTACCAGACCACTTTAATTCTGCGGCTTACAGAAATATCCACTTGGTTGCAATACCTCTTGCCCAGTGGGCATCCCATCTGTGTTCCAGTACCTGCTGAGAGGAGAACTTGCCACTTCCAAGAGCAGCTGTGTCTAAAATCTGGCCGCTCATATTCCCGAAGATGAACCATAGTGGACACTCTTGGCCATCTCTCCAGTGGTCATCTTTGCCTCTATCCACTTTTCCTTGCCACCGCCCCCCACCCACCCCCAACAGTCGGGTAGAGCATATGCTTTTCCTGATCTCTCCCTGCAGGTAGGGTACTCATGCCACTCAGAATGGAGCAGGTGCAGGAACATTCTCCATTTAATGTGCTTTTATTCACAAAAGCCAGAAGAGAAAAACTACTGGTTTCTTCTCTTGAGCATGAATAGATATGTGGGACTCTAACAGTCACTGTGACCAACATATGAGGACAGAAGGTCAGCAGCTAAGCCTAGCACAGGGGACAAGGCCTATGCCCTGTCCTTCAAGGCATTGGTCAGCGTTCAGCATACCCTCGAGGCACCTGCTACTATAGGCTTCCTGTGAACGAGAACCTCCCTACGTTTTAAGCCCCTGTTCCTTGCAGCCAGGAGTGTCTATTCCTCACTGGGGAACAGCTCTCCACCCCAACCGACACATTCTCTCTCTCGGTTCATTAAGGACAATTTCCCCATTTCACTCAATATCCTCATCCGTCCCAGCTGTTCCCCCTGCAGGTGCTTTCCCTGTGCACATTCCCCAGGTCTGCTCCAGGCCTCCTGCTCTCCTTCCCGGACCATTTGTGCCTCTCCCTTGACCGGAAGTGTTTCCCCAAGCCTGACTCAAAGGCTCTGTTCGGATTCCATGAAGGGCTGAAGTCTTGTGTCCACAGACGGAATCTTTGGACCAAGTTCTTAAATAAAGCTCTTTAGCCTTTCGGTCTCCTTGGGGGTCAGATGACTTTCCTCTGAGTAATAACTACTCTGGCTTTGTCATCTCCCTCTTCGAGAAGAGAAGCTAACCTGCTCCCAAACAAGGAGAGGGACTCCGTCCATCCCGGCTTATCTCCCTGCAGGGGCTACCCAGCCACTTCCCTGAATTAGTTCCTTCATTTGCCCCTCCCGCCTTGCCCATTCCCCCTTATCTTTCAGCCTCCGTGGATCCTTCAGAGATCCTGAACTTTCCCTCTAATCGTGAGGGAGCTGAGAACATCTCTAAGGGAATTTCTGCATCACTCTCTTCCCCACCCTCCTCCCCGAAACCTGCGTCTTACAGGGACGTGAAACCAGGAGCCATTGGAAGCTTCCCCCTCCCCACACCATTTTAGCAACACCCCCCAGACTGCAGCTGCTCAAGACCAGAGTTGGGGGAACCCGAGGTGCAGCAACAAAGGAGGGACCCCACAGAAACAAGGAGTCTCTGGAAGATGCTCGACCCTCTTAGCTGGAGGTTGATGAGCATCAGCGACCCTTGGTGTGGCCCAGTGCCTGCATGCATGCACACAGCGGGGCCAGGGGCTCACCGGAAGCAATAATTGGTGTCAAGGGCACGCTTCTTCCTCAGCCCTGCTTGGCCAGGATTGTCGAGCCGGTGCGGGGGAATCATCATAAGGATGAGGTGAGGGTTGTGGTGGTCCTTCTGCTTCTTGAGGCGCCCCAGATCACCACGGCCATGGTCATCCTCACTGTCCACACCTGTGGGAGGGGAAGCAGATTGGTGGCTTCCGCAGCAGGAAGCTGAGTGAGGCCACTGCGGTCCACCCCGCACCTGCCCAGCTATGAAGAGGAGCGAGGCAGACGGATGCCAGGAAGGTGCAGGCTAATCAGATGCAGCTTCAAGCGAATGCCAGCTGTGGGGAGAGGCTTCTAGGTGGAGGATGACAGGATGTCTCTGGTCATGTGACAGTCTGTCCCTGCTCATGACCCTCCTGATGACCTCAAGGACAGAGAATCCTTTCTAGGAGGCTTCCTGGGAGTTCACAGAACATCCTTGTCAGAAGTCGCCTTCCCCTGAGGGCTCTCCGTGCCAGTTGTGAGACTCATCTTCCCTGTGAGTCCCCTCTAGACAGTCCGGATCTCTCAAGATCACAGTGAAGTGCCCCCAACAGCAGTTGGAATATCTGTGGATGTGCACATTGCTCTCAGCTGAGCTCAGGGTGAAACAGCTCTCAGCAGGCAAATGGGAGGGTGCAAACCAGCACCCTCTCCTGGGCTTTCAAGGGAAGGGGGGGTGCTCAGAGGGAAGGGCCAGTGCCCTGCTCACACCCCCTACCCCGACACAAACACCAGTTTTACTGACACACTGACAGGGGCATCTGGACACAGAAGGGACATGGGACTGGGAATAACAGAGCTGGAACACAGATTTCCTTCTCTGAAACTTGTTATGAACAAGAGAGCTATTTACCAAAATAAATAGCTGGAGTGACAGCACAACGGGCATTTGCCTTGCACACAGCCAGCATGGCCGACCCAAGTTTGATTCCTCCGCCCCTCTCGGAGAGCCCGGCAAGCTACCGAGAGTATCTCGCCTGCAAGGCAAAGCCTGGCAAGCTACCCATGACGTATTCAATATGCCAAACACAGTAACAAGTCTCACAATGTTACTGGGCCCTCTCGAGCAAATCAACAAATAACAGGAGGACCAAGGACCGTGACCGTGACCATGGTGGCATTTTGCCCTAACCTGGTCATAGGCAAGTACCCCAAGGCTTTCTGAGCTCCAGAGCTCTAAGAACTCGAGGTCAAGTGCCTGGTTTAATTAATAAATAAGTAAATAAGTAAATAAATAAATAAATAAACGCTATAAAATAGTCTGGCAGGGAAAAGGTTAGTCCTAGGCTGGGAACCACACATTTTTTTTTCATACAAGCCTCGTGACCTTCACCTTGATGGTCTACCTGACCTCAGGTGTGCCCTGGAAATCCAGAATGGGACCCTAATAGAAAAGAATGTTCCTGAGGGCCAGGGCATGACACAGTGGGAGAGCATTTATGTGAGGCCCTGGATTTGACTGGCACCACATATGGTTCCCTGGGCCCTGCGAAGAGAGATCCCTGAGCACAAAGCCAGGAATAAGCCTTGAGCACTACTGGGGTGCCCCACCCCATGGACAGATGAGAGAGAGAGAGAGAGAGAGGGAGAGAGGAAAGGAGGAAGAGGGAGAGGGAGGTAGGGAGAGACAGAGACAGAGAGAGGACATTCTTGCAATTGGGCTCTTGAGGCTGAAGCCTTAGAACCTGAAATGAGGTCTACTGTTTCACCATTTCAACCCAGACACCCCATCACAGCGGGTGAGGGTTGGGGAGAAAGCCCCGGAAATAAGGGGAAATCTCAGTGCACGGGACCAACCCTTCCGGCCACCAGATCGCTTCTCCGGGGCTAGGAATCACAGCTTTGAAACCACCGGCACTGGCCTCCACTCTCCTTGGAGGCTCTGCTGTCAGCTGGGGAGGTGAGCGCCATCTCTTTCTCAAGGCTGGGGCTTGGGTTGCTCAAGCACACCCTGGGACCCCTCTGCAGGGTAGCAGAGTGACTTTCCCCAGGCACCTTCAGGCCTCAGGTTCTTCTGGAGCTGCCACGCACAGCCTACCTTTGAACTTGATCTCCATCACCTCGCGAATGTTCTCCAGGATGTCCCCATTGGGCTGAAACGTGTGGCACGGGCAGTGGATGCTGATCTCCAGGCCCAGGTTGGACTCTGCAATGGGGATGGGTAGTGGGGGAGAGAAGCACTGAGTGACGAGCAGGGGAGGTCCGGGGCCCCTGCCAGCCCCTACCCCACAGGACCCCATCTGACAGAGGGTTACAGGAGACGGCGGCACTGCCTCAGTGAGACCTGGCTGTCCCTGTGTGTTACCACTTCCGACGTATCTGTGACATTAACAGCCATAGGAAGGCACAGACCAGTCAGTGGTCATCGCAAAGGGGAATTGGCCTCACCCCTTGGAGGATGATGTTAGAAAAACACTGTCTGCTCCCCCTAGGGACGGAAGAGGGGGACAGGTGTGAGGAGGAAGGAGACCAGGCCCAGCTCCGGGGGCTGGTGGGGAAAGGAGATTCTGTGGCCAGCCGGCCAGGAAGGGGGCAGAGGCAGGGAGGATGCGAGGCGCTGGAGGAGCAGGGGAGAGCAGGCGGTGAAGAGGTCAGGCAGTGGCTGGAGCAGCAGCACAGTAGGGAGGGTGTTTGCCCTGCGTGTGGCCGACCTGGGTTCGATCCCCATCATCTCGTATGGTCCCCCAAGCACCACCAGGAGTGATTCCCGAGTGCAGAGCCAGGAGGAACCCCTGAGTACTGCTCGCTGTGGCCTAACCCCCACCCCCTCAAAAAATAAATAAAAGAGGCACAAAGGCAGGGATTCAAAGGGCCACAGGGGAGCCAGAGAGATAGTCCAGTGGGTAGCGCATCTGCCTACCACACGGCTGATCAGGGTCCGATCCCCAGCACCTCAGATGGTCCCCCGAGCCTGTCAGGATAATTCCTGAGTACAGAGCAAGGAGTAACCCCTGAGCATTGACAGGTGTGAACCCTCCTTAAAAAAACTTTCTTAAAGGCCATAGGACTGGGAGTAGGTGGCACCGTGTGACCTTGGCATTAAGGTTGGGATGCAAAGGGCGGGCAGGGCCTCTGTGAGCCAGAACTGGTAGGGGTGCAAGGGGCCAGCAAGTCTTTGAGGCTGAGCCGCAGGTGGGGAGGGCAGGAGGCCGAGGCACGGGAGCCCAGCCTGGCTTTCCCCAGGGAAGGACGGCATGGGGTCTCAGCTACCACTGGAAGCCTGCACACTTAAGGAGAGGGTTGGCGCTGTGCAGAACTCCCTGGGAAAGGGCAACACGGGCAGGCGGCAGAGGGGGGACAGAGACAGGAACAGGGGCTAGAAGGGAGGAGCAGAGGACCGAAGGCCAGGGTGGAGGAGACAGATGAGCCATTCCCGGGGGAATGCTGGGAGAACCAGGCCTGCTCTCCTGGGCTAGGAGCCAGCACTGGGCCTTTCTCCTACAGTCTGGGGTGAGTGGGGTCGGAGCCATAGTATGGTGGGCGAGACGCTTGCCTTCCATGCATCTGGCCTGGGTTCAATCCCCAGAACCTCATATGGTACCCCTGACCGCCACCAGGAGGGATCCCTGAGCATAGAACCAGGAGTAAGCCCTGAGCACCGCTGGGTATGGGGCCCCCAAACAAAAAATCCAGGTTGTAATTTTAGAAGGGGAGGACCTGCTCGGGTAACTAGAAGTTAAGGATGCAAGAGGCTGAGTAGAGAAAGAAAAAAAATAATAATGGGGAAGGGGCTGGAGCAATAGCACAGTGGGTAGGGCGTTTGCCTTGCACACAGCCAACCCGGGTTTGATTCCCAGCATCCCGAATGATCCCCCGAGCACCGCCAGAGGTAATTCCTGAATGCATGAGCCAGGAGTAACCCCTGTGCATCGCTGGGTGTGATCCAAAAAGAAAAACAAAACAAACAAACAAACAAACTATAAGGGGGGAAGGCTACGAACTGAAAAACTGGAAGAGAGGGTGGGAGTCTTGTGTGGGGAAAACTAGGGCGGTCCTGGTGCCGCAGGGATTTTGTGGGTGAAGGTGGTTTCAGGCAGCTCTCCTCATCCTGGGGCAGGTGGAGGTGTCCCAGGGGAAGGACCCCCACCACACACCACAAGCCCATGGGCACTCTGCTCCCCACAGCCTCCCACCTTGGGCGCCAACCTGGACCTCTTGGACTCCTGAAGTCAGCAGGGAGCGCCCCCGAGCCCAGGTGGGAGGGCTGCATTCTTGTGGGGAGAACTACCCAGGCCCAGAGAGACTCCCGTCACCGCGAGGCAAGCAGGAAGGCCCAGAGTTTTTCCTGAGGAAAAGCCAGCTCAGCCCTTCCTCCATCCACTTCAGCACCCAGCGGGAGGGTTCAACTTGGCCCCAAGTTGGGGCCCCCTCTAGGACTCCCACACGCTGAGTGTGAAGATTTCTCTTCCAGAGCATGAATTTAACCAGGCGGCTGAGCCCTAGCAAGTGAGCAGACAGGAAGGGATAACTTGAGCACTGGAGCAATAACTTGGCATCAGGAAAACGTGGGCGCCCAGCCCTGGGTGAGGTGACGGCCAGCACCGAGATCCGAAAGCTCTCAGATGTCTGCCCAGGGAGCCCGAGACCAGACGCATGACTCAGTTGGGATCAGCTACTCGGGGCTCCGTATTTTGAGGACCCTGCACCCTGAAGGAACTCAGGAGCTCCAAGTCTAGGTCCATGGGAGATCCCCCCGGGGCAGAAGGTGGGCAGCTGAGGCCTGCCTGGGAACTGATGGTCCCTAAGCATTACCCTCGAGTTGGCGAGAGCAGGGGTGAGGGGCTGGGGGACCCACCAGCGTTGTCAGGGAACTATCATTTTGCCATCTCAAGGGGGATGGAAACCTTTCCCAGTTTCTCACCAGCAAACTTCTTGGTGAGGCCCCGCAGCTGTGAAAATAAGAACTTCTGCACGTGCCCCAGGCAGCAAATAGCAGACACAGCTGATCCAAGTCAGCGGGAACCTACGAGACCCATGGGCTCCTTCTCCCCATGGGCACGTGGGGCCCTGCCACCACACTCAGAGTTCCCTGTGGTCCTTACTCCAGACGAGGGAATGCAGAATTTCTGGGCATCCTGGCAGCTGGAGAAGCACCCCGAGCCCACAGGCTGCCAGTTAGGTTGGTGGGTCATTCCCCAGGAATGGGGAAACGCGGGCCCACAGGGTTTACAGCACTGCGGGCAGGCCAGGGAGCAGAGCCAGCATCTCCTCCATGATGGAGACCACCAATCTCGCTGGGGGGTGGGGGAAGAAGGTGGGAAAAACAGGTCCTGGGGTGACTTGAAGAATGCCTGCCCCTTGCCAACCCCCCCAGAAAGACCCTAATCTCTGACACAGCATTGCCAGGCAATCTCCCAGTTTTCCCAAGGAAAGTCCAGGAATTGTGTGTACTCATGTGACTTAAATGGCATGGAACACGGTGGAGTGCTCAGTTCCTCGGAACCCCACTGCCAGGCCACGCCATTTGAGACCTGCCCCAGAGGGCCACCAGGCGTTGCCTCACTCTCTCAGGAAAGGCCCACAAGGGTGGTGAGGGCCCACCCAAGGGCCCAGTATATAGATGGTCAGGGCCCCACAGCAGCTGGACGCCTGCCACCCCGCTGAGCAGGATGTGAGTCTCAGCACTCGGTGAAGATGGAGCTGAGCATGGTGTCCCAAAGCACCACCAGCCAGAGCATCTGGGGCTGGTCTAGGATGGATGACCAGGGTAAGCTTCTGCCTCTCTGGGCTCCGGTCTCCTTATCTGACCCCAAGGAAAGCTCATTCTTGTCTGACAGACTGGAAGCCAGAATGTTCTCTGAAGTAGATTTTATCCTAGCCAACAGTGCAGAGGCGAGCAAGGAAGGACCTGACCTCATATATATATATATATATATATATATTATAAATATATATATTTTTTCTCTTTGGGTTACACCCAGCAATGCTCAGGGGTTACTCCTGGCTCACGCACTCAGAAATTACTCCTGGCAGTGTTCGGGGGACCATATGGGATGCTGGGAATCAAACCCGGGTTGCAAGGCAAATGCCCTACCCGCTGTGCTATCACTCCAGCCCCCGCTGACCTCTCATCTTTCAGGTGAGGAAAGGGCCAGGACTTGAGTTCAGTGCAAGGGGCCTGGGAATGCTGGCTGGGCAACTGAGTGTAGCTAGACACCAGGTGTGTCGAAGATGACAGGACACCACAACCCGCTCTTCTCTCTCTGTTAGAAAATGTCTCTACCTGGGGCTGGAGTGATAGCACAGCGGGTAGGGCGTTTGCCTGGCATGCGGCCAACCTGGGTTCGATTCCCAGCATCCCATATGGTCCCCTGAGCACCGCCAGGGGTGATTCCTGAGCGCAGAGCCAGGAGTAACCCCTGTGCATTGCCAGGTGTGACCTAAAAAGCAAAAAATATATATACCTATAAAAAGAAAAGAAAACGTCTCTACCTAGGAGCCACACCTGGCAGAGTTCAGAGGTTGCTTCTGGCTCTGAGCTTAGAGGCAGAGACCTGGCTTAGGGGACCACATAGCCCCGAGGACCAGGCCCAGGCCTCCAGCACCTGTGAGTACTCCGGCCTTTGGGTCTAGCTCTCCCGGTCCCTAACCCTCGTTCTTCCTTTTCTTTCTTATTTTTTTTTCTCTTTTGTGGGATTGCAGTCACAGAGCTGCCAGACTCCACATGCTCCCAGGATGGTGCTCGTGACATATGACACAGGGGATGAGAACTCAGGACCTCACACTTTCAAGATCTGGCCCGTGGGGCTATTCCTCCAGGTGCCTCTCCTCTTCCTTTCAACAGCCTTTCCTATTTCAGCACATCTTACACCCCCAGACATTATGCTCCATCCAAATGTCACACATCATCCTGAACTTCTGTGTCCTCATCCCCCATACCTGACCACACACAGACTGGATCCGGGGACTCTCCACAGCAGCTGCTACGGCCCTGGCATGGCTCCTGTTCCTCTCAGGGGGCCACTGCCAACTGCTGCTCTCAAGCTCACGGCCACGGCAGGGGTCTTTCTAAACGTATGCCAAGTCAATTCCTCTCTTCCCCCAGCCTGCTCAAGTCCCTCCCTCTCAAGATTTCTCTCTCTTGGTGTAAGTCCACACGGCCTGACCCTGATGGAACTGTGGTTGCATCAAAACGTCCAGCAAAGCCACCTCTCTCACCCCCAGCAGGCTCCCTGCTGCAGCAGAACCAGAACTGCACTGCTCTGTGTCCACCTGCAGCCTGGGCCTCCCGTTTTCCTGTTTTCTTCCACCTGGGATGTCCCTTCCCTTGTTCACCGACGAGTCCCCCCTCCCCATCCCAGCATGGTCCCTGGTGAGCCCTTGGATGGTTGGATGGTTAATGTTGATTGGATAGTTAATGTTGGTTAGTTAATATTGGATGGTTAACACTGGTTGGTTAATATTGGATGGTTAACGTTGGTTGGCTAATGTCGGATGATTAATGTTGGTTGGTTAATGTCGGATGGTTAACGCTGGTTGGTTAATGTTGGATGGTTAATGCTGGTTGGTTAATGTTAGATGGTTAACATTGGTTGATGTCAGATGGTTAATGTTGGTTGGTTAATGTCGGATGGCTAATGGTGATTGGTTAATGTCAAATGGTGAACGCTGGTTGGTTAATGTTGGATGGTTAACGTTGGTTGGTTAATGTTGGTTGGTTAATGTTGGATGGTAAACGCTGGTTGGTTATTGTCGGATGGTTGACGTTGGTTGGTTATTGTCGGATGGTTGATGTTGGTTGATGGAGGGAGGAAACACCCCAAGTCAGTGTAGAACTGGCCTCTTCCTCCTCCCCCCAGTCTCAGATCCAGGAAGGGCCCCCTTCATGAAGAGTCCTCCAGAAGCGCCACCCTTAGCACCATCCTACCTCTGCGCAGCAGCCACTCCCGCACCGTGTCCGTCACGTCGAAAGACAGCCACTCGGCCGTGCCCCGCGTGGGCAGGTTCTTGCCTCCAATGTAGCGCTGCTTGGCTATGTGCTCATCTGGCCGGAGGATCTGTGGGGCCGAGGCAGGTGTGAGTGCCCGAGCCGGGACAGAGTCCTAAGCCCCTGTCCCGGTGCAGGACACAGGCGGGGACAATAGGAAACCAGACCTTCCCAAAGACTCCTTTTTTATGGGGTGGAGGGGGGGAATAATACTTGGTATTCCCCAGGGCTTATTCCTGGCTCTGTGTTTAGGGATCACTCCAGGTGCGCATGGAAGACCACATGAGGTGCTCATGATTGAACCTGGGTAAGCCGCATGCCAGGCCAGCGCACTACCCACTCTACTACCACTCTAGCCCCACCAAATGCTCCTTTGAAGTGCTCTGAATGACAGACACAGACAGAGCCCTGGAGGAGGCAAGGCCTGCACCCAAAGTGGTTCTCCTGTGGAGGTGGGGGGGAGGCGGGTGCATTCACCTGGAAGAGCTCAATCCTCTGCTCGTTGCGCTTGGAGCTGGGGTTGGGGACCCGCAAGACCCGGAACTCTGCTCGGAACAAGTTGGTTCCATTCTTCTCCACCGAGGACACATTGAAGCGGAACACCTTGGAGGTGATTCCCTTGGGACACACAGCCAGCTCATCTGGGAGACAGTGCAGTGGGGAAAAACACACATGAGAGAGGCTGCTGACAGCTGCCAACTACCGCCAAGTGAACAAGGGCCCACAGCGGGGGGATGGGAGGGCGACATCTGGGGGCCCTGAGGCTTGGGATCTGAAGGCGGGAAAAGGAGGAAGCTCCTGGCGGCCTTAAGCTCACAAGCTGACCTGCTGGAGATGCTGAGGGCCCAGGTGGCCCTGGGGTATGGCTCTTCCCCAATCCTCAGCTCTGGCAGACTCCCTGCCTGCTTATCCTGCTCTCTTGGAAAATATGGACCTTCTTTTTTTAATTTAATTTTTAAAAATTTTTATTAGTGAAACACCATGAGGTACAATTGTAGACTTACAAATTTTTGTGCTTGGGTTTCAGTTATACTCAATGCCTCTTTTGCAAACCACAGCACCCCAAAGGGGAGAGAGAACAAAAGGGAATGCCCTGCCACAGAGGCAGGGTGGGATGGGGGGATGGGAGGGCTACTGGGATCAGTGGTGGTGGAGAATGGGCACTGGTGGAGGGATGGGTACTCGAAAATATGGACTTTTTGGTTTTTTTTTAAAGGCATGAAAAATTTGTTTTGAAAACATTGACAATTTCTCCGTCAAAGGAAACATCATTGAAACATCAGACCCTGCCAACTTCTTTTTTTTTAATGTTGAAATAATTACTTTATTGGTTTAGTTAAAATACATTCTTTGCTATTAACACATTCTTTTCAATTAATTATTATGTAAATATAATTTTAATAGAAAATATGGACTTTTTGAAGGACACCAACAATTCCACCCAGTGACTGATCGGCTCACAGCTGACTCATCCATGGGTTTTCTCACATGGACTTTTACGCCTACATCAGATGTGTGCTTGACAGCACAGAGCAAGAACGAACAGGCAGAGCCGCTGCCTTCAAGGAGGTGAATATCTAAAGACGCACACTCAAACACAGCACCGGAGCGTTCCGGGGGGTGCTTGGGGATCAGTGAGGAATCGCTGCTGCAGAGAGCACAGCAGGAAGGGGTGATCTCAATACAATGCTGCAAGGACCCTGTAGTGCTGGGGATACCTGGGTCACCCTAGAAGTGCAGAGGGCCTCCAGGGCCATTCCTAGCCCTGCTCAGGGGACCATGTGGTGCCAGGAATCGAACCCAGGCTGGGTGCATGCCAGGCATACAACCTAAACACTGTCCCATCTCCCAGACCATGAAAGAGGAAAAGGCTTGAGGGAAGAAATGATCCATCAAGGGAAGGGCCACCGAAAGCAAAGGTAACAAGGGGAGTATGTGTCCGTAAGGGGCGCACTGGGGGCCAGACTGGAGCCCCGGAATCATGGTCAGAACAATAGACTGGAGTTTTCAAGGGGAGGGGATGGAAATATCAAACTCAAGGTTGTTTTCATTCCCAGTGGGGCACGGTGGAGCGTCCTCAAGGGGTTCAGTGGGATAATCAGCACTGTGCTTGGGACCTACTGAGGTAGCAGGGGTATGGCCAGGAGCCAGCAGCCTGGAAGCCCCGCGGGCACTGTCAGGCCTGGCCGATCTAGCCCCATGGGTGCTGCCTCTTCAAGGGTCTCTCTCCTGGACAGTGCCGGCTGCACAGCCTCCTTGCGCTGCTGGCCTCACCATCCCTTCTATCTTCTTCCCACAATAGAAGGCAGCAAATAGTCTTCATTTGCTGGGGTCTCTTTCTCCATCTGCCTCCTCACAACCTCAGAGGCTGAGGAGCAGCAGCACCCACGAAGAACATTCTACACAAATGGTATCAATAGCCAGCACTTGAAATTCAAGCTGGGAGACCTAGATTCCACACAGAGTGGACACGGCTGAAATGAGCTCATAATCACCCCGAGGGGTGGCTGAGGAAGTCCCGGGCGAGGCGGGAAGGATCGGAGGCCTGGAAACAAGCAAAGGCGCTACTGATCTTTAGGAAAGGATGAGTGAGTGTTTCTGGAAATTGCCATCTGGTAGGCCTGACACTGGTTCTTAGGAAATTAATGGAACAGATGTTAGGAAAACAAATGTGTGAATGCCGGCTAATAAAGCCCTGATTAATAATTGGCTTTGAAAGAGCAAATCCTGGCACCTATCTCCTGAGCCACTGAAGATGGAACCAGAATGAAGACTCCGTGAGAAGTGGGAGGTTGCAGGCTGCCACCCTCTGGGCACAGATTAGCGGCTCTCTGAGGCCACCTCTCAAGTAGCTCTGAGTGTTCTTGGTTCTTGAGGGAGCTGCCAAGGGGTGTGTAAGGCTTCAGAGCGACCCATAATGCCAGTAACTCAGAATAATACAGGTCGTGCCCGTGTGAGATGTGCATGGCTGTGATAAAGGAAACGGGAGCAGGTGATGGCATGTGCCCATGAGAAAAATCGAAGACTGGGGCTGGAGCGATAGCACAGCAGGTAGGGCATTGGCCTTGTATGTGGCCGACCCAGGTTCGATTCCCAGTATCCCATATGATCCCCCAGCACCGCTAGGAATCATTCCTGAGTGCATGAGCCAGGAGTAACCCCTGTGCATCGCTGAATGTGACCCAAAAATAAAAAAAAAGAAAAAGAAAAATTGAAGACTGTGGGGTAGTCAGGAGAGATGGGAGGGTCTTTAGCACTTGGGCTTCTTCCAGGACCAGGATCTGCTCCCTTCCAGATCCTTCTCTGGATGGTCATTTCAAGGAGGTGGTCTCATCATTATCACCAAGAGAGTTAGACTTCTCACAGAGTAGAAAGGGTCATCAGGGGCCATGAGGTTGGGCCGTGGCCCTCTTCAGAAGAAGAAACGAATATTCCCAGGAATCTTGGCCAGCTTCCACTGGAAAGGGGCTGATACTGGCAGGTGGACACTAGCAAACCCCACTCAGACACAATTCTCAGTAACCAACAAAGGAACTTCTTCAGGGGCCCAAGAGGATAAAGATCACCTTCTTGGCCAATCACACCCACCTAGAAACAACAAAGCTTTCAATAATCTGGAGTAAGTCAGCTACAGGTTTGTGGACAAAGTGTAAAGCTACCATGACACATTTCATGGTGCTTGCATCAGCTCAGCTGAAACACTAACAATTCTCAAGGAGGAAGAAAAGAAGTAAAACTACTGTTTTGCAACTGAGAACAGGGAGTGTTGGGAAGGTGACTTTTGGGGTCAGTCAGGAAATGGGTGACTGAGCCTTGAGCCCAGGTGGGACTGCAACCCAGGTATTCATGTATCAAAACAGGGAACCCGGACATGATAGAGGGCCCAAGAGGTATCTCGGGAGAAGATGACACCCAAATGTGGACTTCACAAAATGGAGATGGGGTGCCACCAATGCCCCAACTAGGTCTGGAGTGTCCACTGATGCCCCCAACCGGGCCTGAAGTGCCCACTAATTCCCCAGAAGGAACCAATTTCAAGTCTGCATGTGCTCAAGTCACCCTTCTGCAGAGCACGAATAATTCCAAGCACCGGGCCAGGGATCCCCCTTTACCAGTTAAATAAGGACCAGCTTTTTCTCAGGACACACAGGAAAGTACAGACTGATGGATGCTCATTTTCTCTTTTCCTTTGAGGAAAAACCCAAGCAGATTCAGATAGAACAGAGTTTATCCATCTATTTCTTCCCTGTGGTCCCCCTGACCTAACAGTTGTCCCCCTGGCCTCATGCTGTGACAATTTACATATAAATCATACCCCTCATTTGTGGGATATTCATCTGTATCCTGGGGATTCTACAGGGGACCAGATGGCCCCTGGCTGGGAACCACTGATGAACAGTATTCATGAGAAAATCCAGAAATAGTTGACAGTATTGAGAACCATTTTTTTTTTCAAATGTTTTCTGACACTCAGTTCCTTGGGGTGCCTTTGTTTGTGGACACCATTTCCGTGAGTCCACTTCCTGTAGATTTCCTTCATGGGACTATTAGGACGGCATAGATTAGAGGGGCAGCTGGCTTTGGGCTGAGCATTAGAATCACTTGGGGAGCTTTAAAAACTGATGATGTCTGCACCCAGTTCCCAGATTCTGACTGCAGGCTGAGCAGAGCTTGTTTTTCCAGGCTACCCAGCTGACTCCTCACAGCCAGCTTGAGACTCACAGTGCCTGGTGCGCTCCAAAGGCACCACAGCTTCCAGATGTTCTGGGCACCTGAGAAACCAGAGTGCTCATGCTCTAAGTTTTCAGGGGGTTAGCTTTGACATGTATGAGGCTGGTTGGTCAAGGCATCCTTTAAAAGGTTTTGAATTAAAAGCCCATCACATTTTAAGACCACATCCAAAGTTGGGAAATTTCCTAGCAAGACCCAGATTTTCAGCTCTTCTGGGACATGGCAAGATCTAGACAAGCTGCACCCACATTCCTAAATGCACAGATCAGTTGCTGTGGAGCACGGGGCCTTTTATAATGGGGCCTGGTTGCTGGGCCCTGCATCAGCCTCCCACATCCCCTATTCTTTCAAGAACCCTAAGACCAAGCGTCCTGGCAGCATTCGCTGCTTGGACTCTGGCTTTTCTTCAGGTCATTTGCATTCGCTGCTTCTGAGGGCCCTCGGGGTTGCAGCCCCTCTAAGGAAGGGTCTGCTCTGTAATTGGGCCTTGAGCTTAAGAATCAATAGGAAGTCAGATGAAAACGTTGATTTCCCCAGGACCATGTTCCCCCAACCCCCCAAGTAAGGTTGGTTCTGGATGGGTGTGGTGGAGTCTTGGATGCCCATTTTTCTCACTTACCATCTGGACCACACATGGAGAAACACTGGCCCAGTGGGGGGGGGGGGGTGGAGGGCATTGGCACTAAGAACAAATGAGTTCTTTCAATTACAAATGACCTTGAATTTTCAGGATGTGCAAAATCTCAATGCAGCAACCCAAAAGGAAAAGTTAAAGTTTCATCGGGGATGGAATGATAGCACAGCCCATGGGACTCTTGCCTTGCACGCAGCTGACCTGGGTTCAATCCCATGTTCCCTATGTTCCCTATGTTCCCCCCAAGCACAACAGGAGTGATTCCTGAGTGCAGAGCCAGGAGGAACCCCTGAGCACAAAGAAAACAAAAAGAAAAGTTAAAGTATCAAATAGGTGAGTGGGGAAGGCATTTGCCTTGCACACTGCTGACCCGGGTGTAATCCCCAGCACCACATATGGTCCCCTGAATCCTGCCAGGAGCAATCCCTGAGCACCAAGCCAAGAAAAAACTCTGAGTACAGCTGGGTCTGCCCCGCCACCCACTGCCCCCCCCCCCCCGCCCCACCAAAGAAAACATCAAAGGTTGAGTCTGGGGAAACAATACAAGGGTTAGATGCTTGCCTTGCATGTAGATGACCCTGATTCAACCCCCTGACACTGCATATGGTTCCTGGGCACTGACAAGAGTGATCCCTGAGCACAGAGTCAGGAGTAAGCCCTGAGCACTACTGATTTAGTTCAAGATCTCTGGGTCTGCTGGTTGTCTTAGCATGAGCCTTGGCTGAAAACAAGTGTCTGCTGGTGAGGACAGGTAATTATAAACCAGGGGGGAAAGCGACACGTACATCTGTGATATATGATGAGAAAGGGAAGTATAAAAGTTGTGTCTTCCCCCACCACTGGAGGAGAGAACAAGCCTCTATTCCCATAGCAGAATCCCGGAGAATCAGAAGATACTTCACAATCCCAACTTCAGTCCCCAGCAGAGACTAAGCGAAATCATCCCACATGAACCCACAAACTCTTTTCAGCCACGAGGCACCTTAGAGATGACCTCAGGCTCTCCAGAGGAGGAAACTGAGGTCCAGAGAGGTGGCATGCATGCTCTGATGCACATGGTGTCATTGCATAACTGTCTGGAGACTTCATTCATGGGAGAAAGGCCCTTTGTTGAATTGGGGGTGGGGGTGGAGAACTGGCAGGGTGACTCTCCTGGCCTTCAAAATGGGCAGAGGGCTGGGGACACAGCTCAGTGGTAAAGTGACTGACCTTACGTGTGCAAGACCTTGGATATCACGCTACAGGGAATAACAATAAACTCTGAAGTAAGCAGAACTTAGCACACACCCGGAAACCCTCTGTGGTCTGCCGCTGGGCTCACTAAGGTGAGAACTCCTGCAATTTCCTGCTAGGTTCAATGTGAGATCCGCTTGGTGGTAAATCAGAATTTTCTTGGTGGCTAATGCTTAAAAGTGGGGTTGACCAAAAGGAGTAAGGGAGAGAGAGAGAAAAGAGAAAAGAGAGAGACAGAGAGAGAGAGAGAGAGACAGAGACAGAGACAGAGAAAGGCAGAAGGAGAAGAAAGAGAGATGAGAGAGAGAGAGAAAGTGCCTGCCATAGAGGCAGACTGGGGTTGGGGGGGGGTGATGGGAGGGAAACTGGGGACATTGGTGGTGGGAAATGGACACTGGTGGAGGGATGGGTGTTGGAACACTGTAGGGCTGAAACCTAATCATGAACAGCTTTGTCAGGGTCTATCTCACAGTGATGCAATAAAAAAAAATCTTGGAAAGAAAAACCAGACATTGCATAATAAAGTTGTCAATTCCCTGGAAAAAAAAATAAATACAAATAAAAAAAATAAAAGTGGGGCTGCTGTTAAGGGGAAACACACACTTACTTTAGGTAAAACACCCAGTCCGGCTGTCCTAACACTCACTGCCCTGCACAGCACCATCCCCGACAGCATCCCTGCCCGTTAGCCCATTAGCCCCGTTAGGCTGCCTGTTTCCATCACCACCTCTGTGAAACGGGGTCCCCGTAGGACAGGACAGAGCTGGAGGGCAAGATCCCATCCTCTCTGCTCTCCCCTGGGTGTCCCTTGCCCCGCTTCCTGTGGTCACTTCCATGTGCCTGGCCACTCAGAGAGGAGGGGGTACGGTCCCAGAGCATGCTTCTCTCCCACAGCATCTGAGGATGGTGCTCGGTTCCCACTGAGCGTCTGCTGGGCGTGTGCGCCCGCCCTGCTCCCATCTTTATAATTAGTGCCCCTGCTGCCTCTCAGGGCTAGCTCAGCACCTGGCCTGCTGCGGGCAGCCCCCAGACCAAGTGGTCTCAGCTTTGGTGTCCCCTCCAGCAGCTGCAGAGAATCTGTGGGCTGCTTCCTGTGGACTCCTGTGCATCTCCATGGCATTGCCCATGTCTGCCCACTGGGCCCTGGCCCTTTGAGCGCACCCCTTGTGGCACCCAATCACACCACCCTTAGTTTGCCCTCCACTGGACTGTGGCTCTGCACCCTCAAGGCCAGCCCACTCCCACCGCATGTCCCAGTGCTGCAGCCCAGAGCCACGCAGGCCTGAAAGCAAGCCCGCCCTGTACGCCCCACATCTCTGCACAGAATCTATGGCCCCTGGCACTTGTGAACTCTGACCCCCATGGGCTCATTCATTCTCGGGTCAGGCTTCCAGGCGGGGTGAGCCCTGCCTGGAGAGTGAGAATCACTCTTCCTCCCCGCGGGTCCGTAAGGCCTGAGCCATGCCCTATTCCCACATTGGTGGCCACTCTCGCAGCCTTCCAGGCCCCAGGTGGGTTGGGGTCCCAGAGAAGCAGAGGGTGGTCCCTACAGCAGCCCTCCATGGAGGACGTGGGCAGGCAGCACCCACCCCGCCCCATCCTCTCCCCACTCGGCGACCACATCCTAAGGCCGGGCGCTTCTGGAAACCACAGGGAACAGAAGAGGGAACCCCTGGCCAGTAACCACAGGCCCCTGGGCCTGGGATGGGCTGAGGGGTGAGGAGGGAGGCGCTGGGGGACCTCTGCCACCTCCCCTCCTGCTCTTCTTAGTCTCCCCTGATCCTTACCCCACCCCCCTCCTTCCCACCCTGCCACCCCCACTGGGGTACTTGCCCAACGCCCAGGTAAGGGCGTACAGGCTAAGCCACCCAGTGGCCAGGACACCTGCTCGCTGGGAAAGAAAACAGGACTGGGGGGGAGCCCCTGCCCTGCCCCCGCACAGCTCAGAGGAGCTCACGTGGTTCCTTCCTGGCCTGTCAGTTTCTTAGTATTTGCCAAGACTCTCTCCGCTGAAGGTTTTTTTAATCCCTGTGCGGCAAACACGGATAATTTCCACACGTGTCCAAACACACACACACACACACACACACACATCTTGCCCAATGGCCTTCCAGCTCCCTGGCACCGACAGAAGCCTCCAGGGAAGACCCGCTCGCTCCCAGACACTTGTCCCCTCTGCCCCCGCGGCCACACCTCCCACCCACTCTTCCCGGGACACGTAGACCCAGAAGGGCCACCCGGCGGTCATCGGGAAGCCACATGACTGTCCCGTGGTCCACCGTGCCCACCTCGGCGCCCACCCTGCACACGTGTGAACACAGCTGTATCCTGTCCCCAATGGAGGCAGCTGGCCCGGGGCCACGTGTGTGGCCCACACTTGAAGTGGCAGGACAAGATGCTGCCTCTTGCCTGGGCTTTCTAAGACCCTGACGGACAATCACTCGGGGGCGGCAAAACACCTCCAAAACTGGCAAACCGAAGCAGAGACTCATGCCAGGGAGTGCTGGTGTGAAGGCCGGAGAGGACTCCTCTCGGGGAACCAGATGGGGTGCTCCACAGAGCCGGCCCCGCCCCCTGACGGCTCCCGATGCACACACTTCCCCATCGGATGGCCTCAGCCAGAGGACACACGTTGACGTGACAACACTGTCACCCCAGGTCAGGTCTGCCAACGCCAGGGCTGGCTCCCCGAAGCCCAGGGGCTCTCACCAACGCTTCTCTGCCCCGTCTCCAGCCACCCGCCCAGCCTCAATAGCATCACTTCTCCAGAATCCTTCCCGGATGGCCGCTGCTAGCCGCCCCCCTCCCCACACGCCCCCACCCCCTTCTACTGGTCCCCCTAGCCTGGTTCCGACCCTCCAGAGCTGATCCCCCCAGCGAGAACTCGCACTCACTGTGCTCCGCCAGTCCCTGGATCATGTCGAACTTATGGATTTCCTTGGCATAGTACTCAGACTCTGTGTTCTCTTGCGTGCAGCCGTCTTCCCGCTCGCCCTGCATCTCCTCCAGCAGCTCCCGGGTGCTGTTGTACAGGGCCAGCACCTGGTAGGGGACATCGGTCATCAGCGATGGCTCGGGGGGACTGGTCAGCCGGAGCTTGCTCAAAATCTGTCCCCTAATGGCTTCCACCCTCTTCTTCTTGATGTGGCCAAAGTCCAAGGTGGTGCAAGTAGACAGAGAGAGGCTGACCGTGGCAAAGTTCAGCAGGACCAAGACCACCAGAGTCCTCTGCCAGTGCATCTTCAGGGGCGAGCTAGGGAGGGAGGCCCGGGGTGGGGGTGGGGGGCAAGGGGAGGCTTCAGGACCTGGCGAGGAGGAGACCCCGGCCACCGCCGTGCAGAAGAAGGAGGGAGGCAGAGCAGACAGCCTCCCCAGATCCCGCAGACGGAGGCTTGGCAAGAAGGCGCATGAACTCACTGCACTGCGAGAGAGCTTCGGGACTTCCAGGAAGGGCTGGCAGCCCCGAGCACCGAGGAGCCCCCCGGGTGCCTGGCTCCCCGCTCCGAGCGTCTAAACAGGTTCTGCTGGGCTCCGACTGCCCAGCAGGCCAGGTGGAGGGCAAGCGGAGGCTGGGAGGGGTGGCCAGGCAGCTGGCAGTGGGAAGGGAGCCGGAGTTTTTCCTTAGGTAAAAATAAATAGAGTGGATATCTGATATCGCCGAACGCAGCTTGGCGATGGGGAGAAAGTGGGTATTTGAGAGAAGCAGCAGAGGGGGACAGTGGCTGGCTCCCAAACTCAAAATCCTTGCCTTGCCCTGAAGGAAAATAAAGGGGTGTGGGGGTGGGGGACCACGGGTGAGGGGAAAGAATGGAAAAAAGAAGGGGGGGGGAGTTTAAAAAACAGTCAGATCAGCGGTGAGTAGGTGTGGAGAGGCCGGGCTGGCGGCGGCTGGCCCTGGCTTCAGCGGGGCAGTGCAGGACACCGGGGTCTGTCCTGGCAACACCATTCATGCTTTCCCTTTTGTTTACACTTCCTGGGGGCTTTCTAAACGACTCTGTTCACGCTGCCGCCTCCGGTCTTCATTGGCTTCCAAGTGGGGTTACGGTGCAATGGCAAGAGAGGTGGGAGGCCAGGCACCCCGCCCTGGAGCGCAGCCCCCAATAATCCACTTGGTCACCAGCTCCTCGGCTTGTCTGCGCCCTCGGCCATGGCTCCTCTCGCCTTACTTCTCTTGCAAAAAGAAAAAAATGAAAAACGGCACAGAAGACAGAAGACAGCTCGCTGCGGGCCCGCTCCGGGGGCAGCTGCCGGCCGGTGCTCCCCGGTCTTCTCGCCTGGGTCTGGGCTCTGGGGCGCCGTCCCCGGGACCCTGCTGCTGCGTCCCCGCCTCGCTCGCTGGCTCGCTCGCTCCCTGGCTGGTGCGGCCGCTCCTGCCGGTCTCGGGCGCCCCGTGCCCCTCTCTCTCTCTCTCTCCGCCTGGCTCCGCTGGCTCGCCCGCTCGCGCACACATACATGCACACACACTGCTTTCTCTATTTCTCTCTGCTGAAATTTTATACCTCCCTCCCATGACGTCTCCGGGCCCGGGGTGGGGGAGGGAGGGACCAGCGCACGCAGCCTCTTTTTCGGGGCACGGTTTTAATGTCTTAAACAGGCACAGGAAAAGCCTGAGCCCATTTGAAAAAAAAAAAGAGAGAGAGAAGAGAAAAAAAAAATACTTCTCGAGTCCTCTTGGTCCGACGTGGTAACTGAACTTTTTTTCCCCTCTTGGAATCACTCCTGCTACACGTTGACTGTTTTTCTGGAAAGTTACTCCGCTGAATCCCCTCCCTCCCGCTCCCCCGAACTCGGGCGCCCCCGCGCCAGCTGTCAGCCGCGTCCCTCCTCCTCCTCCTCCTTCTCCTCCTCTTCCTCCTCCTTCTCCGGGCCGGCCTCTCGGCCAGGCGGGACCCCGAGCCGTGCCCACCCGCCGTGCCCACCCGCTGTGCCCACCCTCGCTCGGGGAAGGGGGGGAGGGGTAGGTGGGACGCCCGGACTGGGAGCCAGCCCGGGGCTGCCGCGGGCTTTGGCTAGGCTGGCCCGGATTCTTCATTGACAAGCTCGGAGCCCGGGCGGCGGGCGGGCTGAAGCTGGGCGATGCTCCAGGGGGCCTGGAAACCTGGAAAATGGTGGCGGCTTTCCGGTGGACCGAGGGTGCCCTCTGGCGAGGCCCGGCTGCCAGTGCGCGCGGCGCGGAGAGGGCGAGCGCCCGGGACTGACTCCGCGCCGCGCTCTGCCCCGCGCTGCGCCCCGCGCCCTGCCCGGCGACCCGCGCCCTCACCCCCGGCTGCGCCTCGCGCTCTGTACCGCGCCCCGCCCCGCGCTCTGCCCAGCGCCTTGTCCCGCGACCCGCACCCCACGCTCTGTCCCGCGCCCCCCACGCTCTGCCCAGCGCCTTGCCCTGCGCTCTGTCCCGCGCCCTGCCCCGCGCCCCGCGCCCTGCCCCGCGCCCTGCCCCGCGCCCCCCGCGCCCTGCCCCGCGCCCCCCGCGCTCTGCCCCGCGCCCCGCAGCCCGCGCTCTGTCTCGCGCCCTGCCCCGCGCCCTGCGCTACGCCCCTCTCTCTGTCCTGCGCCCCGCGCCGCGCACTTTGCCCCACGCTCAGCCCAGCGCTCTGCGCCCCGCGCCAGGCTTCCCGCTCCCCGCTCCCCGCGCTCTGCTCCGCGCTTTGCTCACTGCCCAGCGCCCCGCGCCCCGCACTCCACCCTGCGTCCCCGCGCCCCGCTTTCTGCCCCGCGCCGCGCGCCCCTCTCTGCTGCGGCGCGAAGCTGCACGGCTCTCCAGATGTTCGCAGCCTCCTCTCGGCCAGCGCAGTCAGCAGCTGGCCCGAGCCCATTGCCCAGATGGGTGCAGGGACGTTCTTCGTTCCGCGTTCCGGGGGAATCGGCTCTGTTCTCTGTGCCCTCGACTCCCCATCCCATTGAACCCCCGCACCAGTCTGCTGGGAGCCCCCACTCCCGCCCACCCCATTCCTGGCAACCCCGCCCCGTCCTAGAACTGAAGGAAAGGTTCAGGGGCAAACTGGTTCGTTCACAGCAGAGGAAACTGAGGCAATGGGCCTACTGGGGCATGGAAGGGGGGATATTCAGTGCAGGCTCTCTGGGTTGGGCAGGAAGTATTTGTTTCCATTACAAGTGAGGAGATTTGGGGGCCGGTAAAAAAACGGAAGAATGACTAAACTGGGAGTTTTCAGAGTTCCCCGTGGCCACACCGAGAGATATATCTCGGAAGTGGGTTCCAAGACACTTAACCTTGGGGCTTCGTTGGCCCTGGAGGGTGAGCCATCATTTGAACACTTTTTGCTGCATGCCAGGCACTTCTAGGTTGGGTTTGGGGGTGGGGCTCATCACTACAACAAACAAAAGCCCAAACCCACAAACTAGCCAAGCACATTCTAGAAGGAGCGTCAGAGGGGGTGGGATGCAATCATTTCAATCTCTAGACCTGTACCCAGGAAAGATAGGTACCAGGGTAGAAGAGAAAGCAGGGAAGGAAGTTAGGGAGTGCCTTGGGTTTGCATTGGTTGTAATTTAAAAGGGTGCGGGGGAATCAGAGAAGGCTGGAGTCCTTACAGTAACACTCGCAAGATGGGAAGGGGAATTTTTAGTGATAACTTTCTGGATTCAGCCTCTACTAAAATAGACTCCAGGGAGATAGTTCTAGAAATTTGGGGAGGAGTTGGGGCCCATCAAATAATGCTCAGGAGCTACTCCAGCTTGGTGCTTACTTAGTAAAACACTCCTGGCAATGTTTGGGAGAGTATTTAAGTGCCAGGTATGGATGCAAAGCAAATACCCCAGTCCTCTGAGCCCTCGCCCTGGCTCCAGCAGCTGTAACTTTCATTCTTTCTTTCTTTCTTTCTTTCTTTCTTTCTTTCTTTCTTTCTTCCTTCCTTCCTTCCTTCCCTCCCTTCCTCCCTCCCTCCCTCCCTTTCCTCCCTCCCTCCCTTCCCACCCTCCCTCCCTTCCCTCCTTCCCTCCCTCCCCCCCTTCCTTCCTTCCTTCCTTCCTTCCTTCCTCCCTCCCTTTCCTTCCTTCCTTCCTTCCTTCCTTCCTTCCTTCCTTCCTTCCTCCCTCCCTCCCTCCCTCCCTCCCTCCCTCTTTCTTTCTTTCTTTCTTTCTTTCTTTCTTTCTTTCTTTCTTCCCTCCCTTCTTCCCTCCCTCCCTTCCCACCCTCCCTCCCTTCCCTCCTTCCCTCCCTCCCCTCCCTCCCTCCCCTTCCTTCCTTCCTTCCTTCCTTCCTTCCTCCCTCCCTCCCTCCCTCCCTCCCTTCCTTCCTTCCTTCCTTCCTTCCTTCCTTCCTTCCTTCTTTCCTTCCTTCCTTCCCTCCCTCCCTCCCTCTTTCTTTCTTTCTTTCTTTCTTTCTTTCTTTCTTTCTTTCTTTCTTTTTTTCTTGCCTCACCTGGCTGCGCTCAGGGCTTACTCTTGGCTCTGTGCTTAGGGATCACTCCTGGCAGGTTTCAAGACCATATCAGGTGGGTGCCTAGGTTGGCCTCATGCAAACATTCACCCTACCTACTGTACCATTTCTCTGTCCTACCCCTCCATGTGGACTTCTTTCTGCCCAGATAAGCCTCTTTACCCATTGCTTCTAGGAAGTTGGGCAACAAGGGAGAGCGAAGGTTTGGAAATTGAACATAATGTGGTGTTGGTCAGACTGTGTGCTCACAAGAAATGGAAAAATCCAAAATTGATCCGTTTTTCTCATCTGGTGCCAAGAAAGAAGGGAACATGAAATTCACTGAAGTCTATGCTTTATTTGTTGTGGGATTTTGGCAATGAACATTTCCTTAGATTAAAACCCAGCAGGATATTCCCATTGAAATGAGAGTTAGTGATTAAAAGTTATTAGGGGCCATGGAGGTAGAAAGATAGTACAGGGCATAAGGTGCTTCCCTTGCCTGAGGTCATCTCGGTTCAATCCCTGGCACCACAGATGGTCTCCTGAGCAACACAGGAGTGATTTCTGAGAAGAGAGTCAGGGGTAAGCTCTGAACACTGCAAGTGTGACCCCAAAACAACAACAACCAAATTCTTAGGGGTTCTCTTTAAGAGTAATTACCCAAGGGTGGAGGGCAGTGCAGAGGGAAACTGAGATCTTGAGAGAACTCTATCTGTCTAGACAGCTAGTTTTCAGCACACCTAGAATGAGACCACAATTCTTCTAAAACCCCAGTTCTTCTGACACCTGGGCAGTGCTGTTTTATCACAAGGCCCAACTGAGCCAACCAGTGCGAATGTATGATTAAACTCAGTGACCTACTGTTTATTTGAGTAATGCTTGCAATCCCAGTTTTAGGGGTGACACTTCTCACAAGCTCTCGCTTTGGGGTGGGGGTTGATCTATACCTGGGAGTGCTCAGGGATTACTCCTGCCTCTGTGCTCAGAGATCACTCTTGTCAGGTTCAGTGGACCTGGGATGCCAGGGATCAAATTTGGGTCAACCTCATGCCAAGCAAGCACCCTATCCACTGCACTATTGCTCTCGTCCTCACAAGTTCCTGCTTTTAAGAATGGCCATCCAGGTCTTTCCCCCAGAATGACTGATGCTAGAGTCATTGTCACTTTCAGGACCCATCCCATAAGTCCACATCTGGTTATCCTAATTAGCCAGTACCCAGAACTTTGTCAGTGAGTTGACTTGGAGGGTCTTACATGGAGAGGCAATGAAGTATCAACTAGTTTGTCCCATTTAAACATTTAAATGGAGACTTGGGGGACATCTGTTGACCTGGTAGAATGGTGGGCACCCAGTAGAATTGACTGGAGAAAAAGAATTCAGTAAGATCTGTAGCCAAAACGTCTCCTAGGTCAACTGCTGAACTCTCAGATGATTTTCCTTTGAACCCCAGTGTTCCCACTTTGTTGGATCATTGGAGGGATTATTTTTAATTTTGAAATTATTGCTACTCGGTAATGACTTGATGTGTTGATTCCACCGCCTTGGAAAGCTATTGAAGGCAGATATTACACTTTCTATTGTATAAAAGTGTAATGTACAAGTTACACTTTCTATTATAAACCATTCATAGGTTTCTGTGACTTCAGTGTTTCACCTGTAGAATGGAGAGGTACCATATCTTGCTCCCTACACGGATTGCTATGCCTTTCACATGAGTTTTGAAGATTCTCTGTATGCATACAAACATAAGGGGTCCGTATGATTATTAATATTCGTAATAGTGCTCTGCACATAATGATGTATACTAAAACTGAACTACCCATGTAGACAGCTCCTAAAGACTAACACTTTCTCACTGTCCAGCAGGAGCAGCCTAAGCGGCAGTAAGTGTCTTCTAGACGGAACACAAGACGCGTTTCGGAAAGATTCCGTTTCAATCAGGAACAGCACCGCGGTCCCTTTAAATATTGGGGGAAAGGCGGAGCCGTTGTCAGGGCAGCTCCGGGGCCGGTTGGTTTCCAGGAAGTGACGTCAGGAAGCCGCGGCGATGGAGGACCTGCTGGACTTGGGCGAGGAGTGGCTCCGCGGCTCGTCCTTCTCCGTGAGGATGGACCCTGGGGGAGGTCGGGGGCCGGGGCGTGGCGCGCGGGGGGGAGGGGGAGGCGCGACCTCGCGGGCCCCGCGCTGCTCTCTGCACCCCCCGTGGACACCCCCGAGCTGGGCACCCTCCCGGACGCCACGGGCCCCCTGCACCCGAGTGCCCTAGACTTGTCCCTGGGCACTTGCTCGAAGCGCTTGTGCTTGCAGGGCAGGCGGGCAGCCTTGCCCAGAGTCCTCTTGGGGAGTGTGTGTGAGTGTGTGTGTGTGTGTGTGTGTGTGTGGTGTGCAGGGCAGGTGGACAGCCTTGCCTAGAGTCCTCTTGGAAAAGGTGTGTGTGTGTGTGTTTGTGTGTGTGTGTGTGTGTGTGGTGTGCAGGGCAGGTGGACAGCCTTGCCCAGAGTCCTCTTGAAAAGGGTGTGTGTATGTGTGTGTGTGTGTGTATGTATGGTGTGCAGGGCAGGTGGACAGCCTTGCCCAGAGTCCTCTTGGAAAGAGGGTGTGTGTGTGTGTGTGTGTGTGTGTGTGTATGGTGTGCAGGGCAGGTGGACAGCCTTGCCCAGAGTCCTCTTGGAAAGAGGGTGTGTGTGTGTGTCTGTGTGTGTGTAGCTTTACCCAGAGTCCCCTCAGGGAGGTGTGTGTGTATGTGGGGGGGGGGGGGCGGGAGGGGGGTGAACAGATTTATATTAAAGCCCCAGGCACAGAGGTCAGAGAGTTACAAAGCTGTTGCACTCCCCAGCCACGGGGTCCATGCCGAGGGCGGAGAGGTTGGTTTCCACTTGGAGCTGCAGTGAAGAAGTAGAGAGGTCCCGAGCCATTGGACAGTGGGTGTGGCTCTTGCTTTGGGCACAGCTGACCCAGGTTCCATCCTCTCATCCCTTATGTTCCCCGGAGCACTGTCAAGAGCAACCCCGAAGCACTGCCCAAAATAAAGAAACAAAAACAAAGTAGAAAGATAGTACTTTGCACTGATAGTGCCTTGCACTGAAATTCTATCCCCAGCTCCACAAATGGGTCCGTCCATCCCCCCAGGAGTGATCCCTGAGCATAGCCGGCTATGCACCTGCCACTCACCCAAAAAAATTATTGAAGATTGGGACCATATGCAGGCGCGCTCAGGGGCTACTGCCAACTCGGTGCCCAGAGGACCCCTTGGGACCTCGTGGATAGTGCCGGGTGTCCTGCAGACAAAGCATGAACAGGTGTTAGCTCTAGGAGCTCATCAGTGGGGTCTATAGAGTTGGTTTTTCTCTCTAGTCAAATCTGTGGAGTTCTACAAGACCTTCCAAAAGTTTAAAGTTGTATAGTCAAGAGTCAGTAGAGAAAGCATCTGAAAATAGAGTTTAGAGAGAAGGTTATTGAATTTTTTTTCTTTTTGTGCACACCCGGCGATGCACAGTGGTAACTCCTAGCTCTGTGCTCAGGAATCACTCCTGGCGGTGCTAGGGGGACCATATGGGATGCTGGGAATCAAACCTGGGTTGGCCGCGTGCAAGGCAAACGCTCTACCCTCTGTGCTATCGCTCCAGCGCCAGTTATTGAATTTTGAATTTTTGTTTTAGCATGTAGCTTGCCATGTTTCCAAGGTTGTGCCACACGGGAAAGGACAATTATGGACAGAGGGGGTGCTGATGAGGGAAATGCACTTACTTATCAGAAAGATGATGATAATCCATCCCTAGGTGATGGATTACAATAGGGAGTCCAGATGCCGCATGAGGGTTTTATGCAGTTCCGTGTAACTGCTCTAAATTTATTGGTGGAATCACTTCCTGGAAGGTCTTAAAACTCCAGCATGGTGTATAGTGAAAATAACGCAGGACTTGAAGACAGAGATTTTATGTTTAGATTTCGGTCTGCCTGGGCTTCTGAGTGTCCTCTGTGAGGTGGCCACAGTTTTTTTGTGAGAATCAAATAAACTACATCAAAAAGTGTTTATATTAATGTTGGTTTCTGTTTCATTTAAACAAATGAAAAATGTCACTAGTTCACCACCCAGTCACTGTCACTGTCCTCCCGTTGTTCGTCAATTTGCTCGAGCAGGCCTAGTAGCATCTCCATTATGAGACTTGTGGTTACTATGTTTGGAATATCCAATACGTCATGGGTAGCTTGCCAGGCTTTGCCGTGTGGGCGAGATACTCTCAGTAGCATGCTGGACTCTCCGAGAGGGGCAGAGGAATCGAACTTGGGTCAGCCGTGTCGGCCGCTTGCAAGGCAAATACCCTACCTGCTGTGCTATCTCACCACCCAGTAGTCTGCTTAAATCAAGCTGGCTTATGTGCTCAGATTCAGTGGTCCCCACTCCGGGGGGGCTTTGGGGAGATACCAAGACCTAGTTCATTTAATGACTCAGAATTTGAAGTCTTCTGATTTCTCAAGCTGAAGTCTCAAAATTCTCATAAGAGATTTTGTTAATTGTCCATAAAACTAGGTTGTTCATCAAGACAGATGCTCTCTCTATTTATCTGATGTCAGTTCCCATGAAAGCTAGGAATTCTTTCTCTCCAAGTTCTGGACAACTGTTTCTTCCTGCCAAATTTCAGTTTTGAAATTCGGCCTTGGGACGCCTGTTCTGGATTCTTCCAGGAGCTGTGTGTGACCCTCCCTGCTCATTCTTGAAGCGTTCCAAGATGCATTTCTTTGGGTAAAAAAGATCTATGGAGATGAAAGAAAAATCTTGGGCTCAAGAGCTAGTTCGAGGGTAAGCTGATGGCCTCGCACACTGCTGACCTTGGTTTGATTTCCAGCACTGAATGTGGTCCCCCAAGCCCTGCCAGAAGTCTTCTTTGAGCACAGAGCCAACAATAGTCCTTAAGCGGCTCTCTGGTATTGTCATACACACACAGACCCTCTGCCCCCCATAGACAAAAGAAAACCTGCTGATTGTTCACACAGAAATTCCCCCATTTAATTAATTAATTTATTTATTGATTGATTGCTTTTTGGGTCACCCCCAGCGATGCTCAAGGGTTATTTCTTGCTCTGCACTCCTGGTGCTGCTCAGGGGTGCTGGGGATCGAACCCGAGTCGGCTGTGTGCAAGGCAAACGCCCTACCTGCTGTACTGTCGCCCCAGCCCTGAAATGTCCTATTTTAGCAAATAGAGCTGACCCTTAGGTGCTGTGGCTAAGGGTTTGGAGGTTTTTCTAAGGACCTGCTTGAGTGATTCAGATCCCCTCCTCCACCATGTCACCCTCAGTTCTTCCCCGCCCCCCCCCAGGAGTGGCTCAGAGACCCTTGGGTCAGCATTGCCCTTTATCTCTCCTTACAGAAGGCCAAGATGGGTCGCCGAGCTCAACAGGAATCGCCCCAAGTTGAGAATCATCTCAGCAGCAAGAATTCTGCTCCGCTTGGAGAGGTGGGTGTTAAAACTCTGAAGAGATGCGCTCTAAATGTCCGTGATGCCTTCAGGAGAGAGCCTGTGGGTGTCCTCATGTCTTTCCTGCGGCACCTGCCCTCCCCTCCTACTTGGATAAAGATTCTCCTCGTTGATACTTGTCTCACTTAGTTAGCCTGAGAGAGGCACTTTTCCCTTTTCTCCTTGGTTTGCTCTTGATGCCAGACTCGTTTCTGTCCTTGACTTGATATTTTCAGCTAAGGACTCACGTCTGCTGAAACAAGAGACCAGTGCAGGGGGCATTTGGGTTTTTTATCTCTGCCTCCTCCCTGCCAGTGAGGTGTGCAGGAGAGCAGGCAGGATGGCCCACTAGCTCGCTCCTTAGCCAGCGGTGGGGGAGCTGAGCATCTTTGAGGCTTGAGGCAGGAAGGGAATGGGCTCTGGTCATAACTGTCTGGGAAGCTTGCCCGAGTGACCTGGAACTGTGGGAATGTGTCCAGCCGGTCTGGGGAGGGTGAAGGGGGGTGGATAATCATCTCATTGCCAGGGAGCTATTTTTGGCAGCTTACTCAGAGCCCCTTTTCATCTTCCTCCGTCCTATGGAAGGAACTTTCCCCCCTTTCAAGAGTCAGCCTCAGGGTAATCCCCTGCTGTCAGCTCCTCCCAGCTCACCCCGGCCCACCAGGCCCCCTGACTTCTCACATTACATCCTGATGGAGTTTTTATGTGTGTCTGCCCCCGCTGGACACTGGTGTCCCGACAGCTAGACCTGGCTTCTCAGTTTGTCTGATTCTCGTTGGCCCAGAACCGGTTTACAACAGGTGAGAGGATTGGCGCTGGGAAACGAGAAAGGCCAGGCAGGTGCGTGAGCAGAGCATGCTGGGACAAGTCACAGACACGCTTCCTTTCCATGTCATGTGTGCAGGGATGTTCTTCCCTTTCTTTGTAATTTTTTTTTTTTGGTAGATTGAATCTAGGGTTATAAATCAACATCAGAGCGAGTGCCCAAGCTTCGAGCCACATCCCCAGCTTCCTGCTCTGCATTTTCTTGGGAAGATGCTTTCCCTACCATTTCTGACAGCTCTCCTTACCCCCTCTCAGTTTCTCTCTCATCTTCTCACCTATTGTAAAAAGGTGAGAGACTCCATTGTTTTTCCTTCTCTAAAAGTAATGGCCCTGCCAGTTGAGGAAAACTGGTGACTAGCCATTGGCCTTATTGCCTGAAGAGAGGGTGGCAGGGGTGTCCTGGGGTAGTGGGGAGACAGGAAATCAGAAGCCACGTGTTCGCTCTAAAGGGGCAGCCACCACCAAACCTCAGCCATGGACACTGTGCCACCTACAGTCTTGATGTTCCAGATATGCCATTTTTTTTCTTTTTGGGTCACACCCAGCAATGCTCAGGGGTCACTCCTGATTTTGCATTCAGGAATCACTCCTGGCAGTGCTCGGGGGACCATATGGGGTGCTGGGAATCGAACCTGGGTTGGCCGCATGCAAGGCAAACGCCTTACCAGCGCTGTACTGTCGCTCCAGCCCCCAGGTCTGCCGATTTTTTGAGAGACACTTTTTCCAAAGCCACAGGTCTCTATCAGCACAAAAGTCTCCCGTAAGATAACTGCTACTGAGAAAGCTTAAATCCCAGTGCAGGCTGGCTTAGGCCTAGCGGAGTTGGTTGGCCATACCACCGCCATTACAGTGCAGACCACAATGCATGGCATTCTGGCATTGATTACATGGCCCGGAGTCACCTGCTTTTGTTTACGTGATGTAAGCTGTGGGCTCCTGGAATCCTCTGGCTGGACTGCTTTGTGTATGGCAGTGCCTGGCATAGCAGGCAAGTGGGGGTCTCTGTGGGAGGGGAGGTGGGCGAGCAGTGTGGTGGGGTCTTCTCAGAAGCCTGTAAGTGTTCTAGGCTGGGGGTGGGCCGATTGTGGAGCCCTGGGAGCACAGGCATAAGGGATGGGGGCATAAGGTATAAGAGTGTTGAGGGAAGGTGGGAGGACCCACGCTCCACTAGACCCAGCCGGGTCTCAAGGAGATTGAACTGCAGCAGCACGTGGCCTTAGAAAGGAAGTGGATATGCAGGCCACTGCATGAGTGACATTCTTCTCTTAGCTTCTGGTTCCTTTCGACAGTGGGACTAAGGGAATCCGTGCCGACATCAGATCACATATGTGTTCATTTATTTGGCAGCTATTTACTGAAGGGGAGTGGCAGCTTCCAGAGGACAGCAGATGCAGTCCCTATCGTAATGGAGCTTTGCATTCTCAGGCAGGTGGACTAATTCCATGTCAACCTAATTGTGAAGGGGTTAGGTGAGTGAGCCGGGGACGGGCCACGCCCTGGAATGACCCACAGCCTCAAAGCCCCGGGGGCCTCCCTCTCCCCGCTGCTCCACCTTCCAAATACCAACCTGGCGTCTGGCCCAGGCCCCCTGGGCACAGAGGCAGCCACCCATGTTCTCCCCCAGTCTCCCAGGAAACAGTACTGGTACACGTTAACTCCTGAGACTCAGCCCAAGAACCTTTCAGGGTTTCGGCCATTCTGAAATGCCCACTTCTCACAGCCCCAGAGTTATCCCCCTTTCCTGCTGGGGGGCCTTAGCACTTTCCTGGGAGGATAGACTGTTTCCCGCCCGCCCAGTGCCCCTGCAAGCAGCATGGCAGTGCGAGTCCCAGGGTTCCTTCCAGGCTGGGTGAGCTGAGGGTGAACCAGCGTGGGCCGCCTCTCCCCCGGGCCTACATACTCGCTGCGCTGCGTGGGATTTGGGGGCTTGTTTCTTGCTAAAATTAGATCCCAAGCCTTGTGTGTGTGCCCATTTACATTCCAGGCCTGAATGTATTACTTGATGCATTTATTTTTGTCCTCTCTCAGGCTATGCTCTAGGATGCAGCTCTCCATGAAAGCATAAATATAGTACCTGGGGGACTGTCTGACATACTGGAATTACTTTGCCGTTACGTTAGGACTCAGTTCTAACACGTGATTCTTTTCACTGGGCTTGGTGGCGCTGGGAGCTCTAGGGAGGGAAGCCGGGAAGGAGCCTGCGGGAGACAGAGAGGGGAGACACAGGGCGTGGTGGTGGGGGGACAGGGCCCAGGACTGGACTCTGCGGTGCCAGGACCCCAAACAAGTCCACTCAGCTCCAGTCCTGTGACGTGTCCGGTGCTGCTGTTGGCCTTTTGAACTCCACACCCACTCCCCCTTCCTACCAAGGGTGTTCATCTGACTCCTGGGGAACCATAGGTTTCCTGATTATGGGGAGCAGGGTTCCCAGCAGCTCTGTGCGGGATTAAGTGAGCATGCGTTGTCAGTCACTCCAATGACCTGAAAAGCACTGGACCGAGATTCAGTCAGTCAACATAGTGGTGAGCAGTGCATGTTTGGGCAGTGCTCTGCTGGTCCTTCTCAAGGGCAGCGAAGGAGGAGGTTGCCAGCCGGTCTCTTTGAGGACCGGTTTGGAAGTCTCATGTTTTCCGGGGGCTCTGGACATTCCTTCTGAAGAAAGGATCAGCGCATCGGCCATGAACTTGGGCGGGCCTGGAGCAGTAGCTCAGTGACTAATGCATATTGCTTAATCTCTTTAAGCCTTGGTTTCCTTGCTGGTGAAAAAGAGATAATAATATCACATACTTCATACAGTAACTAGAAAGGGAAAAAAAGAGGGATAATAGATATAAAGTTTTAGCGCAGTCTGATGCCGAGGTGGCCAGGAGGTTGCTGTTATCTTTTATCTAGAGCTTGGATATTCTTTTTTTTTTTCTTTTTTGGGTGACACTCGGCGATGCACAGGGGTTATTCCTGGCTCTGCACTCTGGAGTTACTCCTGACCGTGCTCAGGGGACCATATGGGATGCTGGGAATCAAACCCCGGTCAGCCGCATGCAAGACAAACGCCCTACCCACTTTGCTCTCACTCCAGCCCCAAGCTTGGATATTCTTTTGACGGGGACATCGGGTCTTGAGCACAGGGCTTCGTGCAGGTGAGGTATGCCCTCTGTCACCGAGGTTCACCCCGATTCCCTGAGCTGTGCTTTTGCATTTTTGTTGAGCTTGAGAACTCATGACCCATGTGTTGAGTTTAAATTGGTCTTGTTTTGTCCATACAGAGTTTTTTTTTTTTAAAAAAATTTACATGGTTGTTATTTATGAACGAGAGACTCTTCACATGAGAGCCAGACTTGGGGTTTTTCTTTAAAACCAGTTCTGAGGCTCAACCCATAGTCTAGCAGCTGGGGCATTTACCGTGCATGCAGCCAACCCAGGTTTGATTCCCGGCATCCCATATGGTCCCCTGAGTACCGCCAGGAGTAATTTCTGAGTGCAGAGCCAGGAGTGACCCCTGAGCACCGCTAGGTATGGCCTCCAAACAAAAATGAAAACAGAAACCCCGTAAGTTCTGGCATAGCAGGGATGCTGGACCGGCATCCCCGCCCGGAAGCAGATGGCTGGAAGTGATGATGGAGATGAAACTGAACCATACCCAGCCTCTCTGCCTGCTGCTTCTTCTCTCTCCCTGATCTACCTGCATGGATTCATTCACATCTGATCTGCCGGGCCTCTCTTTCTGTTTGGAGCTAGAGATGGAGTTCCTGCTTTTCTCGGGTTTCCAGGTATCCTTGCTGTCATTGTTAGTACTGACTTGGACTCCTCAGAACAGAATAGTTGCCCCTCCGATGGGCATTGGGGAGAAGTGGTTTTTCCCACAGCACAAGTCAAGCTGAAGATGAGCAATGTGCTTGTGGCCACTGGACTACGTTTTTCACCCCCTCCTTCCCCCCCCCCCCCGCCCCACCCCTCCTGGCTTCCTGCTCTGCCCTCTGGAGCTTGTTTGGGTGTTTGTGGGACAGGGGAGGAGCCCAGGGGCTCACGCACGCAAGCCTTCCGTCCCTGAGCTCTGGCTCTGGCTCTGCCATCTGGAGCCATTTTCTCCTGGTTGCAAGACAGCTGGTTGAATCAGATCGACCTTCCAGGTGGGAAGAGAGGGTCTAGCTGAAGAGTAAGATGCTTGCTGCCTTCGT